GAAGACCCTAGCCACCCCTGCCCAGCTACTTCCATTCTCTCCTGTGGGTCTGGAGGTCGATGCCCTACCTGAGAAGCCTACCCGATCCTCCAGGCCGGGGCAAGGGCCCCTCTGACCCCTCCTGTGCCCCCCACCCCAGCCCCCGTCACCCTGACACTGCCTTGTCACTGTCCACTCCCTCCAGTAGACTGGGTGCCACACAGGCGCAGGGACTGGGTCTGTCTTGGTCCCTGCTGTGTCAAGGGTACCTAGCACAGGCTTCGACAAGGAGGGGGTCAGCACATACGGTCACGCAGACACACGTTTGGAGCTATGACCCACATGCGGGGAAGTGGGGCCAGCGGAATGCAGAATTGGAAGGCAGAGCTGTGGGGGCGACTTTCCTTGCAAGTCTCCCCAAGTGCCACGGTGAGAGTAAATATGACTGAGACATGTTGTGATCTGTTTAGGGAGGAGAAGTGGCCATTTTCCCAGAGGAAAAAGGCCGTGGGCAGCGGCCAGTTTCTCCGAGGAGAAAAAGGCCCCAGGCGCCCTCCTCCAGGGCTTTTATTAGGTTCTAATACACAGGAATACAGGGCGGCAAGGATCAAACAGTAGATAACATTTCAAAGAAATATTAGTATGAGTCAGTCTGTCAGGAAGAGTTTTAGGGTTTCTTGCTTGAACCCTTAACATATGAATGAAAGCTCTCTTAGCAGAACAGATTTCCCATGTTTATCAGGAAGTCTTCGTGATGCCAGATTTTTCCCCAGGACAAGCTCTACCAAGGCAAGGAGCTGCACCCCTCCCCAAAAGGTATTCAGGCTTAAGGGGATTAGAGCCAGGAAGCGTTTCTCACAGACAACATGGGGACTCAGGCTATGTCAAAGCTGGGGGGCGAGAGTCCATTGCTCCCTCTTTGTTGCAGCCCCCTGAGTCCTTCCATGAAGGCCTCTCAAGTGATCGAGTCTGTCTTAGGCTGCCCCCTGCTGTGAGGGGTCTTACCTGTCATTGACTTCCGACCAAGCTTTGGGGGCAGGGAGAGGAAACTGAGGCAGCATTTGCTACCAGAGACAAGCTTTGTCTCCTGCGGCTCTCATTCCAAAGGTCGTCCCTCACCCTTAGCCACAAGGGATTGAGATACAATTCCTAGAACCAGGCAGAGCGATCCACAACACAGAGCCATTTGAAAGTGGAAAGGACAGTCTCAGGTGCAGGACTGAGCTCCTCGGCACCACTAGCTCAGTCACCTTCCAGGTGTGTGGCCCTGGACAAGCCACATCGTCTTTCACAAACTGTTTCTTCCTCTGGAAAATGGGGGTATGCAAGGCGTTCATGCAGGCACCTGGCAACCCATGTGTGCTCAGCAGTCATTCTGGCGGCTGCTGTTACCCCTGAGTTCACCCCCAACATCGAGGCTAGTCACCCTCCCTCTGAGTCTCAGTTCCCCCACTTGGCCATAGTCCCCCTTGGATCACTCAGACAGGCCACTGCCTGGATGGGCAAGGAGGAAGCCTCCACAGGTGTCCACCTCAGCGGCCACCTACAGCAGCCACCAAGCAGGACCCATGGGGCTGGCACAGGCCAGCTGCACTAAGCTGGGGATCCTCGGCAGTACCCAGCTTTCCTGGAGGTTGCTGGAGAAGGGCCCAAGCCTGGCTGTTGGGGGACTGAGGAGGCTGCAATGAAGCTGCGGCCCCTTCTTAAAGGGGGAAGCTTCCGGTTTAGGGGCAAGGGCTCTATGAACACCTTTTAGACACTTACTGGATGCCAGACCAGGCTGCTGGGGCCTTTGCCCATGCTGCTCCAGTTGTCACAATGACTTTTTCTATTGATGGTGTCCATACCTGCTCCTTCTGCTCAAAGGACCCCGCCTCCAGGAAGCCTCCCAGATTCTCTGGGTTGGGTCAGGCACCTGCATTTGGGTTAACACAGGGCCCCAGCTCCTTCCGTCACAGCTCTGGTCACCCAGTATTGTAGCTGGGTTGTGGGTACGTCACTCATTTGGCTGACAAATGCTGACAGAGCGCTTAGTAGGCGTCAGACACTGTGCATGGCCATTCACACTTAAGGAACCCTGCAGGACAGGTGTGTTGGTGTGTTACTGTCTCCTATTTGCAGATGGGGAAACTGAGGCTCTGAAAGATTTCAATAGCTGAAGGAAGCCAAGTAGCCTGGGGCCAGAGCACAGTAGAGTAGTAAGAGCTGTTTTTATTCCCAGTGACAGTGAGCTCTCTCTCCCCTGGCATTTTGGTTGGGAGTTTGTCCAGGGACTCAGGATGTGCTTGCATCCCTGTGGTGCCTGCGACCTTCCAGGACTTTAAAGGTCAGGCAGTGCTGGCCACTCCAAACATCTGTTCTTTCCTTTTCCATAATAATAGAACCCCTGATTTTCAGCTAGACCGTTGGCCACTCAGAATAAAAACTACATTTCCCAGCATTCTTTCAGGAAGTGTGGCCACAGGACTAGGTTCTAGCTAATGGGTTATAAGCAGGAGTGGTGTGTGGGATTTCTGGGAAGTTTCCTTAAAGGGAAAGGATGAGCCCTCCCTCACCCCTTCTTCCTCACTGACTGGAATCAGACTGTGAGGGCTGGAGCTCAAGCAGCTGCATTGTCCCATTTGCTGAGTATGTGGAGCAACAAGATAGAAGGAGCCTGGGCTATGGACACCATGGAATCTCCCTGTGACCCCTGAACTAGCTGTTCATGCTCACAAGCAAATAAGCCTCATGTGCTCTAGTGCTCTGGTTGGTCAGCCTCCACCACACACACGAACCACGATGGAGGGCCCATCTGTGCTGTCATCAATCCAAAAAGAGAAAATCTTCCCTTAAACCACCTCAGAGGTTTTCGGCTCTAGCAAAGCACAAGGGAAAAATACTTCATTGTGTGTGTGTAAAAAAAGAAACCTCTGAACGCAAACATTCACTTGTGAACCCAGCAAGACTAGACTAAAGGATCCAAATCCCATCATCTCCCACATGCTGTGTGATCCCAAGCAAGTGTCTTGGCCTCTCTGGGCCTTGGTTGTAAAATAGAGACCTGGAAGTGTTGCTAGCAGGATTTCCTCTGAGCTAATTAAAGCCCTCCAATGGTTTCATTCAGCACCTCAGAGTAAAAACTCAATTCCTCACCAAGCTTTACAAGGCCCTGCACAACCTACCCTCACCTCTCCACTTCGCTCACTCTGCTTGTGCCACATGGGCCTCCTCACTCTTCCTGACACCCCAGGCATGGTCCTGCCCCAGGGCCTTTGCACGTGCTACGCCATCTGTTTGGAACACCATTCTTTATGCTGACCTCCTTCTCAGCATTCCAGTCCCAGATCCTTGACTCCCCTGAGCACGCTTCCCCCACGGCCAAGCAGGGGCCTCACTCACAGCCCAGAAGAACCCTTAACATGGCCCAAATCTTCCAAAGTGGGGAGGGGCGAGCTGGGGACTAAAGAAGCACTTTGTCTGCTCACCGTAAAATTAAACCACATCTGAGTCTCTCTCTGAATTCAAGTAGAAATTTACAGGAAATAATGGGGATGGAGGAACATGTTAAATGACACTACAGGGACACCCAATCGGCAAATCCCAGACCGGGGACATCACAGCAGGGTGAATGACCCAGTCGCTTCAACAAATGGAGTTCGAGGAAAAATTAAAAGAGAGAGACGGAGGCAAAATCTCCCCATTGAGAGAGTCTGGAGCCCGGCAGTCTGATTCAGACAGCCAAAGACGTGCGCACCATGAACGTCCACACTTGCAGGTGTGCCCAGATGGAATCCTTATTTGGGGCATGACTGGCGCTGGCAGGGTGGCTGTTGTTGTTTCTTAAGAGGTGTTATCTTAAAGAGCAGGGCCTCTCCCCTCAGCACCGTGGACACTGGGGCTGGTCGTTCTCTGTGGGGACGTCTGTACAGCCTGGTTGCTGCAGGGGTGCCCAACCTTTTGGCGTCTCTGGGTTACCCTGGAAGAAGAGTTGTCTTGGGCCACACATTAAATACACAAACACTAACAAAAACTGATGAGCAAAAAAAAAAAGGTTTTAAGTAAATTTACAATTTTGTGTTGGGCCGCAATCATAGCCATCCTGGGCCTCATGTGGCCCGCAGGCCGAGTCTTGGACTCCCTGTCAGGGCAGTGAGCCAATATCCCTGGCTCCCACCCACAAGAGACTAATAGCACCCCCCAGTGGTGGCTACCAGAAATGTCCCAGACGCTGCCAACTGTCCCTAGGGAAAATATCCACTCCCCAACTGAGAACTACTTTAATGACACAAGCTGAAATATCTACAAATGACATAAACATCTTGGATTTGCCTCAAAAGAGTGAGGGAGGGGGCAGTGAGTGAAAGTGGAGAAGGTACAGGGTGGCCTCCAGGCGATCACTGTTGAATCTGAGTAATGGGTACAGGCAGGGGGGTCATTATTCTATTCTGCCTCCTTTGGATGTGTGTGACATTTTCCAGTAGAAAACGTTGGAATGATGAGGGAAATTCAGCTTCGATGTGGACTTCGGTTCACTGTAAGACACCCAGCTTGCTTTCTGGGTTACAACAAACACCATGAAGGTCACTCCATGCCCACGGAGGGTGTGACCTTCGGGGAAGCTGGGTGAGGGCACGTGAGAACTCTCTAGAACCTGGGCTACTTATTTAGACCTAAAATTATTTCAAAATAAAAAGTTTATTTTAAAAAAAGGTTTAAATGAATAATGAATAAACATATCCAAAATCAGCAGCCGTGCGCCCAGGATTGGAACGGAGGCCAAATGAACACAGGGACCTTGAATGCCCCACCCCCCTGCCCAGCCCCAGCCCACATCCTCTCACTCACCTGCAGACAACAGCAGCCGGCCTTGGGCTCTGCAGGGCTTTGTCACATGGGTGGCACAAGGGGCCAGAGGTCCAGGCAGCCCTACAGTAGCCAGGGCGAAAATCTGTTTTCAAACCCATTTTATTCTCTCCAGACTAGAAACACTCATTTCTACCCTACCCACCCCGATCTTCACCAACCAGGGTCTGCAGGCCTCAGAGTGAGTCTGGGGGCCTCTCTGAGGACCCCACGGCCTCAGCCACCCCCATGGAGGCGGCACTGCAGTGGCGGTGTGGGCTGGCTCGGGCCAGCAGCTCCAGCCTCCGGGGGCGCAGCCGGGCCTGGATGGCCCAGATGGGGGGCTGGTAGCCTTGCAGGGAGGGGTCCTCATCGATGCTCTCGATGGTGGAGTCAGAGCTGTCTTCTGTGCTGGGCACTGACCGCTTGCACACGGGGCAGGAGCGCTGGGCAGCCTGGGAGAACCAGGGGTCGATGCACTTGCAGTGATAAATGTGAGAGCAGGGCAGGATCTTGAGCTGCTCGCCCTCCTCGTATTCGTCCAGGCAAATGGCGCACGTGTCATTGAGCCGCGTGAAGGTGCGGACCTGGGCCTTCCGGCAGGCCGGCGTCTTGGCCGCTGTGAGCCCGCAGGCCCACCAGGACCTCAGGCAGTTCCACAGGTGTCGCAGGACCAGGAAAGTGGATGTGAGCAGGGCCAGGGCACAGCCCAGAACCCAGGAGATGGCCAGCACGGGACGGCAGTCCAGGTTGGGGCACGGCGGGTAGTTGGGCAGCAGGAGGACGTGGGCGGACTTGTCGCAGCACACGATGAGTCGCAAGTCCTGCGCCGCGGCCTCGCCCACGAACACCGCGGGGATGGAGATCTGGCGCTGCAGGTCCTCGAAGACGTGTGCCATGCGCACAAGGTCATCAGAGAGGACGTTGTGCACGATGGCGGCCTTGAAGCCAGCCTGCTGGGCGTGTAGCACCTTCAGGTCAAATGTGCAGTCGTAGCGACGGATGAGGACGATGGCACCCAGGGAGCCATTGGCCACCGGCTGCGGCCCCTCAATGGGGTGGCACGCATTAGCCGGCTTGGCCTCCATCAGGTAGCCCCGCACACCCTCGGGGGCCAGGGGTGTCCCGAACATGGCTGGCAAATCTTCAAAGTCCACCGTGCTCAAGTTGCCATCTAGCACGGCCCGCACCAGCGCCTGTGAGGGTACCAGCAGCGCCCACAGGATCAGTGAGGCCTGGGCAGCCCCTGGGGCCAGGGCCAGCTGCTGCCGCCCCATGGCCACCCCCACTCCCCCTCTTCCTCCTGCTTTGAATTGAGCCTTGGTCGCACCAGGGATGGCAGATGGGAGGCCTTTGGGCATCTGAGGGGCCTCCCAGGGGCTGTGGCCAGGATGGAAGGGAGATGAGCTTCAAGGGGAGGCTCAGAGGCAGGCAAGCAGAACAGCTGGGACCTGGGTGGCCCTAGATGGAAATGGCTTCTGGTGGCGGGCACGTTTTCATCGTGTCTCTGAAGGCTGGTCCCAGGAGGCACTGACCTACCAGGGTGGCCTTGCTGGCAGATGACGCTGAGGCCAGGAGCCCCCAGGATTCCAGATGCCCCCGCCCTCTGTGACATCATCCAGTTACATTCTACCCCAGAGCTCCGGCTGCCTGGGCCTGTGGCCAAGACAGAGTTCCTAGGTCCCTGACCCAGGGGCCCAGGCAGCCTCTGTAAAAGGAAGCCTCAGAGCACCCACAGTTCCTCAACTTCATCAGGTCTTACTTGGGCTTGGAGCCCCGAGTGGTGTGGAGCCAGGACTTACACGGTCTATGAGCATCATCTCCTTGTGCCTCTCAGTGACCCAACAAGGGAAGTGCCAATATTACCTCCTTTCGAGATTCCTTGGAGGACCCAGAATTTTTCAGGGCACCCTATCCCTGTGAGGTCAGTTCTTAAAACCCAAATCCTCTCTCTCCCCCTCACTCACTCTGCTGCAGCCATACAAGCCACCTTGCTGTTCCTACAACATGCCTAGCATGGTCCTGCCCCAGGGCCTTTGCACAGGCTACTTTCTGTATCTATAGTGACCTTTCTCCCTATGGCTGGCTATTTCTCATGACTCAGGTCCAAGTTCACATGTACTTAGAGTCTAACTGGGCTTGGTCTGAGGGCCTGGAGAGTGCCAAGGGCGGGGTGGGGCTGGCAGGGGTGGGGGGCCCAAGTTCTCACTGCCTGGTAGGTCTCCTGCACAAGCTTTATTCTCTCACTTTAGAGGTTGCTCTGCAGCTGAGTCTCTAACTGTCCCCCATTCCTCTCAGAACTCTGGGCATCAGCCTTACATCCTCACCACTTTTCATACTCAAAGTATCCCACCCTGGATCCATCTCCTACCCAGATGGGCTGCCTGCTCACGGCTGGATTCCTGGCTCAGCCATTGACCAGCTGTGTAGCATCAGGTAAGCACACAACCCCTCTGGGCCCCAGCTCCCAGCACCGTAAAGTGGGTGCAGTGCTAAGGCGCTGACCCAGCAGCACCGGTTGGTGGGAGAATTAAATGAGATAACACACGACTGCTGCCCTCCCAGAACAGACCCACCTCCAGCTTACAGCCCCTCCAGTTCTTCGGTTCGTTGTACTTCATTGAGGCAGATGCAGGAAGTGAAAACACGCTTGTCCCAGGACCTGCATCTGAGGGAGGCCGGCCAAAGGCCGGACTTACCACGGGGAGACTGGAGGGTGAGAGAGGATAAATTTGGTGTAAGGGGGCACAACAGCCCAGATAGTTAATACCCCTGACCCACAATGACTGGTGGGAAAAGACCAATACCCAGTCTGTGTTGCTCCTCAAATGAGGTAACTCTGGGGTGCAAGTCCCTCACCTCCTCCTAGAGGCCCCCATGGACTGAGCTCCAGCTGTCCACCCCCGAAACCTACCTGACGATGCTTCCTTCACCGGCTGCCTCCCCCTTCCCATCTCCCTTTCCCCACTTCCCTCCCAGAGTTTCCTGAGTTCACTTCCAGAATAAAGAGTTTGCCCTCAAACCCTTGGCTCAGTGTCTGAATCTGGGAACGCGAATCAAGGTGCTGTCTGAGAACACAGGCTTGCCCGGGAGAGCGGAAGAGGGTCAGAGAGACCCGGGTCCTAAAACCGCCATTTGAGCCCTTCGTTCTGGCTGAGCCCGAGGCCAGACGCCCCCGAGCCCCTGTGTACAAATGCATCCCTTTTTCTGCCTAAGAAAGGGTTCCTATCCCCACACCACTGATCCTCCAGGGATCAGGGAGCCTTCCAGAACCTCACAGAAAAGACGCTGACACAATTACAAGTTTTTCTTTTTCTGCTCTACACCCATCTCTCTCCGAACGTTGCTAGCATTACCTCCTTCAGTAACGCCGAGAGGGAGCATCCCCGGGATGTCTGCGTCCTGCGACCCTTAGACACAAAACGCGTAGCAGGTGGGTGACGGGACGTGTCTTGTCTTCACTCCAATTTCCCCAGAAGTCAGTCACATCTCCTTCCTTCCTCAAGTGCACCTCCTGCTAACCTGAATGACACGCTTGCCTATTCACGGGTGGGTATGCGGCACCCACACCCCCAGCACTGAGTGTGAGGACCAGTCTTGCCACAGGTGCTGGAGCACGAGGAACGGGAGGTCCACAAGGGGTCTGTAATCCACGGCCAGTGGATTGGCCTCTGTCTGTCTGTCTGTCCTCTCCACGCGTCTCTACTTCTGTCTCTTGATGAATCTCCGACACGGTCCCTCCCCAGGCCTCTTTCCCTGTCTCTGTCAGTGTCTCTGTCTTCCCCTCTTTTGTTTCCGTCTGTTCCCGCCTCTCTCTCCAAGTTTGTTTCAGTCTTTCGATGCCCCTGTCTCTGCATCTCTGTCTCCATCTGACCCCTGTCCAATGCCACGGCTAAGAGGCGGCGAGACCGGCTCCTCAAACCGCCTGCTCCGCTGTCTGTGTGCCAGCCTGGTCCCCATGGGGGCAGGCGTCAAGCTGCAAATTAACAGTCAGACTGCTTCATTTGTCTTCCCATCTTCCCTGCTCCAAGTGACACTGGAGGAAAGAAACGCTTCCACGGTGTCCCCGGAAAGGAATTGCAGGGACACACGCAAAGGAAGATTTTAAGCGATAGTGGCAAGATTTATTAGCGCACCAATGCCCCTAAAAAGGCGGCCGCACTTGACGAGGGTCTTCCCCGGTGGCCCCAGCAACCGCAGCTGGCTGACGTCGTCCGCCCGCCCCTGGGCACCCCACGTACACCATGCCCAGTGCCTCCTCCACGACCAGGTGGGTTAGTCTCGTCCTGCTGCAAGAGAAGCCCAGCTTCTGCGGCTGTCAGCCGTCGTCTCTGCCCACCAGGACCAGGAGGGCCAGGGCCCGGAGCTGCGGTGCCATGGCCCCGCCACCCAAGGCGCTGGTAGCCCAGCACAGTGGCCTGGCTGCGCGACGGCCAGCATGGATGCCAGGAAGAGGCTGGGGCCTTTGCTAAGCTTGTCTAGAATTCCTTGGGCTTGAGAGAGAGCAGACTTTCTTTCAAACAATCCAGTCTTTTTCCTGGCTTTTCCTGGGCTGTGTCTTTATTCTAGCTGGTCTTTTTGTTCAGCTATTCTCAGGTCTGTCTCTTCCCCCACATTTTAAATTTTATTTATTTACTTTTAGACAGAGGGGAAGGGAAGGGAAGGGAAGAGGAAAGAAAGGAAGAGAAACATCAATGTATTATTGCACTTGTGTACCCCCTACTGGGGACCTGGCCTGCAACCCAGGCATGTGCCCTGACTAGGAATTGAACCTGAGACTCTCTGGTTCAAAGGCTTGTGCTCAATCCACTGAGCTACACCCGCCAGGGTTTCCTCCCCTTTACAGCCACCATCTTGACTGCTTCTGTGCCTGCACTCAGTGGAAGGACATCCCTCTGTACTGTCTTCTCTCTCCCCCCTTAAAAAGGGGTGGACCCCCGGGGTGACTGTAAATCTTAATCAGACTTAATCAGCTATCTGCTTCTGATTGGTGTGCTCCCTCCCTTTCAGTTAACATCTAACTAACTGCAGACTATAACAGAGGCCCCGGTTTTTACGTGGGAATAATTAAACTTACAGAGGTGGAAACAGTGCTGGAGAGAGGGCTCTGTCTACGCAGGACAAAGCGCCAGCTGCCGGGTCGTTGGCGGTGGCCCACACAACACCCCTGGCCTTACAGAGGTTACGTTTTAGCTGAGAGAAGGGGAGATGGCCAATAAACAAACTGGACTAATGAAGGAACCAACCACCACCAAATGGAATAACGGCCGCGTGTGAAGTGCTGTGAGGGAAATTAAGCAGGCGTTGGGACAGAGAGGGGCCACCTTCCCTGGGGCGCTCAAGGGAGGTCTCCCCAGGGCAGGAGCATTGGAAGGGAAGCCTGAAATGGGGGAAGGCCTGCCCGTCCAGAACATGACTCATTCTTGGGGTGCCACCTGGGCACTTGGGGTTCATTGACTGATTTCATTTCATTTCTTTGTTCATCAAATAGTTCTTAAGCACCTACTTCGTGCCAGGCTCTGGGCTGGGCACTGGGGACCCAGAAGTGACAAGGAGGAGGAAGGTAAAGAGGAGGAGGAGGTAGAGGAGGGGGAGGGGCAGGGGGAGAGGGTGCAGGAAGAGAACAGGAGGGGGAGTCAGAAGGAGGAGGAGGAGGAGACGAGGAACAGGAGCTGGAGAAGAAGGGGGGGAGAGAAGGAGGGGAAGAGGAGGGTGAAGAAGAAGAAAGTCTGAGACGAGACAATGGCTGGAACGCAGGGTGATGTGAACTTCCCTGTGAACACAGGGAAGTCCCCCGACAGGGTCTGGCGTTTGGCATTTACGTGGAGATGGGAAAGGGTGGAGAGGAGTGAGCAGGAGACAGGGTGGAGGATGGTGCGACCACCTGTGTCCAGTACATCTGAGGAAGGGCAGGAGGACGCTATGGCTGCGTGGATGGCAGGGAATGAAGAGGTAACCAGCTGGATGGTGGGGTCTTGTGGACCACGATAAACAGTCTGCATTTTATTGTAAGTGCAACACCGCGCCTGGCTGGTCTGGGTTCCCTGCAGGCAGCCCGAAGACAAGACGGGGATTTGGGTACAACCTGTGGGCGGTTATCTCAGGAGGGAGTGGGGAAGGGAGAAGGGGAAGGGGAGGAGCCAACACAGGATGCCCCAGGGAGCAGGTAACCATGGTGGGCAGATGGGCTCACCCCCGTGGGGACCTCTAGGAGACGATCTAGGGCGTGCCCTTCAGAGATGCCTGCTCGAGGGACTCGGGGGCTGGAGTATCTATGCACCAGCGCCTGGCAGCCATTGGCTGGGAGTGGCATCCATTCTGTGACACGTGTAGTCTGGGCTGGGGCAGAGAGGCTGGGGCGCCAGCACAGGGAACCCGGCGGGCCCCAGGACATGCGTGGCCACTGACAGCACCTGCCACAGAGCCTCCGGAGCTGACCGCCCCAGGTGGCTGCCACCAGCTGTACGTAGTTGTTGAAATGCATTAAAAATAATTGTTAAAAAATTCAGTTCCTCACTCACACTTGCCACATTTCCAGGGCTCCATAGGCAGATGGGAGCGACCATGTTGGGTGGCAGAGGGTCTGAAACATTCCCGCCAGGACAGGAAGTTCTG